CTATGATGCCACAGCACTCTACCAAGGGTGACAAAGTGAGACTCTGTCTAAAAAAAAAAAAAACTACAAAGAGGCCAGGTGAGGTGGCTCAAGCCTGTAAATCCTAGCACTCTGGGAGGCCAAGGCAGGTAACTTCCTGAGCTCAGGAGTTGAAGAGCAGGCTGAACTGCTCTATCAATACCTAAATCAGAGCTTCCCAAACTTTGGTCCTCAAACCAGACTAGTAGCTCTCCTACTGTCTATGACAAGATAAAAACAGAAATTCTAGTGGAAGCATTTAAAAATTTCTGTAGCAATTTGATAAGAGTAATTTTATGTCTACTGAATCTAATTAGTAATTAGTAAAAGTTAGGGATCCTTTTGTAGTTCATAAGTATGATGAGCATACATTATTTCATGGGCATGAGTAAATGTGCCTCCCACAAATCTTATAGCATCAGCACATTACCTGTCTGACACGAAAAAATAAATAAATAAATAAATAAATAAAAGTTGGGACTTAAGGCAGGCACAGTGGCTCACCCTTAAAATCCTAGCACTTTTGCTGCCCAAGTGGGAGACTCTTTGTGAGGCTGCTGAGGTGAGAAGTTCAAGACTAGCTTGAGCAAGAGACCTCGGCTTGACAAGAAAATAGAAAAATTAGCCAGGCATGGTGGTGCATGCCTGTAGTTCCAGCTATCAGGGAGGCTAAGGCAGAAGGATCACCTGAACCATGGAGTTTAAGGTTACAGTGAGCTATGATGAAGCCACTGTACTCTATCATAGGCAAGAGAGAGAGAAATTAAACTTAGGTCTATTCTACAACTTAGGTTCTATGATTTCATGAAGTATGTAAATATCTACTATGCACAAAGCTCTATGAAATTTTATACTTATAATTTCTTTTTTTTTTTTTTTTTGAGACAGTGTCTCACTATGTTGCCCTCAGTAGAGTGCTGTGAAGTCACAGCAACCTCAGACTCTTGGGCTTAAGCAATTTTCTTGCCTCAGCCTCCCAAGTAGCTGGGACTATAGGCCTAACTAATTTTTGTTACAGTTGTCATTGTTAGCTGGCCCCAGGCCAGACATGAAATGTTAGAATAACTATGGAACTTAACTTTTAACTTAACTTTGGTGTATGTGACTGGTGGCCATAACCACTATGCTATGGGCACTGAGCCTACTCATAATTTCTTATATTCTTCTTAACCTCCTTTCTATTTCCTTATAGTTGTCCTTACCTTACCTTCTGGTTGACAGTTTATTTTTACCTATTTTACATTATCTATATACCTCATCTTCATTCCATGATTATTCTGATTACAAGTGTGTATTTCTGTATAACTGTAGCTGGATGTCACCCAAAATTGGTGTTAATGGAATACATGCATGATTCAAAACATTTTTAAAAATTATTCCTTCAAAACAAATCAAGCAGCACATTCTTTCTTCATATTTTGAGAATTTATTCAACTTCTGAAAATGTTCTGCAGTCATTCAAAGCCATGTAAGATGAACAGAAAGGGAGATGAGGCCAGGCACAGTGGCTCAGGACTGTAATTCCAGTGCTCTCGAGAGCCCAAGGAAGTAGGATCACTTGAAGTCAGGAGTTCAAAATCAGCCTAGGTGACCTAGCAAGATTTGTCTCAATAACGAAAATTATCCTGAAGGTTAAAGCAAGAGGAACACTTTAGCTCTGGAGTTCAAGCTTTCAGTGAGCTATGATTATGCTACTATACTTCAGCCTGAGCTACAATGATCCCATCTCCAAAAAAGAAAAGAAAAGAACAGGTTAGAGAGGAGGAGAATATCTAACTGAGTAATATTATAAAATGTTAGAATAACTATGGAAGTAACAGGATGGGTCTTCTTAGGTAACTGTTTCTTTTTTTTTCCCCCCTTGTTTTTGTTTTAAAGAGTCTTGCTCTGCTACCCTAGATGAAGTGTAGTGGCCCAAGGATTAGCTCACTGCAATCTGAAACTCTTGGGTTGAAGGGATCCTTCTACCTCAATCTCCCCAGTATCTGGTTCTATAGGTGTACACCATTATGCCCAGATAATTTTTTTTACTTTTTTTGTGTGGGATCTGGCTATGTTGCCCAGGCTGGTCTCAAACTCCAGGCCCCAAGCAATCCTTTCACCTCAGCCTCCCAAAATGCTGGGATTTCAGGTGTGAGCCACTACACCCACCCTTCTTTGGCAGCTTGAACCAACTCTGTAAGAATAAGATAACACACTATAAATAGTATTGGTGTTATCAATTTTGGTGTTGGTGAGAGTGCAGAATTTGTTTTTTTCCCCTTTTATCCAAAGTATTTCAAGTTCTCATGATATGATCCTTTAAGTAATTGTTTTAAGAAATCATGGCTCAGCACCTATGGCTCAAGTGGCTAAGGTACCAGCCACACACACCTAAGGTGGCAGGTTTGAATCCAGCCCAGGCCTGCCAAACAACAATGATGACTGCAACCAAAAAAAATAGCCAGGCGTTGTGGCCAGCGCCTGTGGTCTCAGCTACTTGGGAGGCAGAGGCAGGAGACTCGCTTGAGCCCAGG